ACGACAACCCGCAGTGCTATCCTGATAATTATACCAATTCATAAATAACAATGCAAAAAAAATTGGGTTCCAATTCAACTATAAAACTGTAGATCCCTTGGTTGCCATTCGCTGTATGGGCTATTAATTAACAGCTGTATCTAAGGAATGTCGGCCTTAGTAACTAACAAGACTTCAAGATCGCGCCACTCATCCTACACTCATCGCCATTCATACTTGGCTTACCTACTATGAATGGTCGCCATAAAAAAAAACGTATTAAAGGATTAAAGTATTTATCATATACGTTGATTAACAATATGTAAACGTCAATATATACGTAACAGCCATTTTACAGTATTTTTGCTTTTTGGAAATGTTCAATTGCTGTCATTTGCATTATTTATTGCCAATGAAGCCACCAAGATCATATGAACTAGGAGGCCCCTAACAGTTCAAGAATAAAAGCCAACTTTACTTCATGTATTCCACTACACCTAACATTCCGTAGAGAGATTATATTGACAACTTTATGTTATTGATAAGGCCGAGACAACTAACTGACATCCCCCATGTCAAGGAATTCCAGCTTTATCAGTAACCTCACAGTCAATTTCTCAAAACTATGCTAGAGGGTTCATTCATTGGCACAGAAGTACGATATGAGCTGACGCGACGTGACGAAGGGAAATCAAACTTACACTGTAACGGATATACCTCCCTTTGAAGTTAGAACGTGTCTTCTCAACAAACATATATTTTTTCTCAAACACTGGTGAAGTCGCGGAAGTGTTTAACTACAAGATCCACCAATACGATTTAAATACTATTTAAAGGTTCTACCAAAGGAAGAAATACCATATAACATACTAATAATAACTCCGATGACGTACAGGATAGAAAATATTTTAATCATTGAATGAACAACCAAATTTGGCAACTAACGCAATATTGTTATTGTTTTTACACTTACTCTTTGAACAATGTTAAATGCTCAAAATATGTATATTTCACCCAATTCATCGCAGTTAGATGAATTAATGTAAGCCTTGAAAGTAACCGTCGATTTCGACGGGTTTCCCCTAGTTATTATATATTCTCTGTGAACTATTACGAAATAACCCATATTCAAACGGGGAAAAACACACTGAAGTCAACAGAACAAAATTTTTTGACATAAAAATATAAATACAGGAATAAAAATATCAATGATACTATATTCATGAAACTACATTATTTGTTGGATGGCAATGTGTGATTAATACTTGGCAACTGACTCGACTCGCAGCACGCGCTCATATAACTTAGCATATCTCAGGAAATAACGCCCATAACGGTATATAGTTTGAAGGAAAGTTAAATTTGGATCTTTATCTAAAACTTTCCCGCTGGTCAAATGCCTCTAACCAAATAGTACGTGATTTGGTAGCCGACTAACTTTTACATGTTTAGTTTTGTTTTAAGAAAGGCCAAGTATAAAGAGTGATTTCACGCTTAAGTTTTTAACAATTACAAACTATTTTTCCACAACACGCATCGTCCACTTATGATTGATGTCCATGTCAAGTTTCATAATTTTTCCTCAATTCTAACAGTTCAAAATGTTGATGTTAATAGAGCAGTGTCACGCTGAGCTATATACGCGCGCGAAGCGGTTTGCCCCCAAGGTGACGTCACGTCGCGATGCGCAGAACGGTCTCAAACTCGTCCGGCTGAGTAGCACACCTTATTTACTTCCACCATGGTGTTCTATGACTTTCCCGTTTCCATAGTTTGCAAATCGGCTCTTTAAATGATTACTAAGAAATGCAGCACTTTGTTAGGCCTAATTCAGTTTTCTTTTAGGGAATAAGCTATTACTGTAGGTCTCATGGTAAGACCTAGATCCGGGACCGATTTACTTTTTCATTTTGAGGTCCCCAGAAGCCAAAAACACCCGTAAAATGAAAACGTAAAATGTAAGGTTAAAATTAGGTATATGCTATTAAATTAAGGTAAAAAGTTCAGTGTGGTGGCTAAAACAACCCTTAAACGAACGAATGAGGAAAAAAAGCTAAAAATAGAAAAGTCGAGTGCTATCTAATTTACTCATTGTTGTGGCTTGCCCCTGAACTGGTAATATAAAATAATAGTGGTTTAGTTACCTTTACTTTCGTCCCAGTTCAATAAAAAGTTGTAATATCTACAACCATGGTTTCGACGCTAGTTGCGTCATGGTCACGTAGTTAGCAAGTCGAGAAGTATCCTTGTCATAGTCGGTCGCTTGGACGATATTTACACAAACACGGACATAAACACACACGTACATTGATTAAAATAAAAGGTTCTCGTGGACGGAACACAGGCCTGTGGTGAACAGTTTACTTGTACCGTAGCGGGAGCCGGCAGGAGAACACTGAGGGCGACGGCGTCTGTGATTACATGACCCTTGCACCTTCTTTGGATATGGACTCGTCCTGTGGGGGTTGTCTGTTGAAGATAGACTTGCCTGATGAACTTTTGATGTTTGGATGATTTTATTAAAGATTAAGTGTGAACTATAATTTAGTTTTTAATTCAATACGTTATTGCTATCCTGTTTTAGGGCCTTATAAATATGGAATTCCTCGAGGGTGTCAAGAGCACCATATCATGACCTTTGATGATCATGTACCTTTGTTGCAAACTTCAATTATCTCAATTTTATTTTCAATATTTCCAGTGCAATGTTCTTCGTCCATAATGTGTTGAGCATAACTTGATTTTTGATGATTTATTCGGGGATTTGGTTTATGTTGCTTAGTTATCCCTTAGCCCTTTTGGCAAAGGATCTGCCTGTTTGCCCTATGTAAAACTTATCACAGTCATTACATTTTAATTTGTAGACGCCAGTTTTTTCTAATTGGTTATCATTATGCTGTGATTTGGGTTTAAGTAGGCTATCAATTTTATTGGAGGTTCTAGGTGCTGGAATTATGTTGAATGGTTTGAGTACTTTCTTCAATAAATTATGGAGGTATTTAGGTTTTATTTCATTTTGTTGTTCAGTTTTATCAGACGACTGTTTTTTCAACTGTTTAATTAAAAGTTTGTCAACCACTTTTGTTTCATAGCCGTTAGATCGTGCTATGTGCTTTATTATATTTATTTCGGTGTTGTAATCTTCTGGAGACAGTGGTACCTTGATCATTCTATTAATCATGCTAGGCAGCTAGTTTGTGGCTAATAGGGTGGTATGAAGATGCGTGTATAGTTTGGTTGGTAGTAGTAGGTTTCCTGTATATACTGTACTTGAATCGAATCTATTGTTGAGCTTTTCTATTGTAAGATCCAGGAAGTTAATCTTGTTATCGCTTTCTGTTTCGAGGGTAAAATTTAATTTCGGACATATACTGTTGTTAAGATAATTATTTAGTAACTGCAGTTGGCGAGCATTACCATTAATATCAAATAAGACCAGGGTATCGACGTAGCGTAGCGGTAATAAAACAGGATTTTATTCTGTTTTGGATTTTGTTCTGAAAGTATATAAGTATTCTCTATGTAGTTCAAAAATATTTCAGACAAAATTCCTAAAAAAGGGGAACCCATAGCAAGGCCGTCAGATTGCAAATAATACTTGTTGTTGAAGCTGAAGTAATTTTGTTTTAAGGTTATGTCTAGCAGGTTGATCAGTTCAATTCTAGCCTCGGATGTTAAAGATTGGGTATTCTTAAGATGGTTATCAATGATTTGCAATGTCTCATGAATGGGTACGTTAGTATATAAATTAACGATATCAAATGAGGCTAGTGTGTGGTGATTTCTTACTTCTATATTTTTTGTTTTCACGACCAAGTCTAAGCTGTTCTTTAAACTGTGGCTATCTAAGAACTCAAAATGTAATCTAAGTATTTGATCGAGTTTTTTAGCAACCTTATATGCCGGTGCAGTTGTGAAATTTACAAGAGGGCGTATAGGAATTTCAGGCTTGTGAATCATAGGGAGACCTTTCAAGGAAGGTGCTGAAGAGTTCATCATTTTTAGAGCTTTAATTTCCTCGGGTTTCAAGAGATTTTTACTAGAACTAATTGCTTTGTTGATAACACTGGTATACTTAGAGTTGGATCCTTATCAATCAGGGTGATGCCGTTGTCATTGATAAAACGGGTAACCTTATCTATGTAATCGTTCTAGTATAAAACAACAATTGAATTGCCTTTATCGGCTTTTGAGTATAGCTTTATTGTTTGTTAGTTTTTCCCTAAAACTGTTGAGGATTTGTTTATCATTCATATTATTTGTCCTTTTATTTATTGAATGAACATCTTTTTTATGTGTTTGATTTATTTCGACGAAGAACATAGCACTGGAAATATTAAAAATAACATTGAGATAATTGAAGTTTGCAGCAAAGGTTTTACTATTGACACCCTCGAGGAATTCCATATTTATAAGGTCCTAAAACAGGATAGCAATAACGTATTGAATGAAAAACTAAATTATAGTTCACACTTAATCTTTAATAAAATCATCCAAACATCTCAAGTTCGTCAGGCAAGTCTATCTTCAACAGGCAAGTCTATCTTCAACAGACAACCCCCACAGGACGAGTCCATATTCAAAGAAGGTCATGTAATCACAGATGCTGTCGCCCTCAGAGTTCTCCTGCCGGCTCCCACTACGGTACAAGTTAACTGTTCACCACAGGCCTGTGTTCCGTCCACGAGAACCTTTTATTTTAGTCAATGTACGTGTGTGTTTATGTCCGTGTCCGTGTTTGTGTAAATATGACGACGTCCAAACGACCGACTATGACAAGATACTTCTCGACTTGCTAACTACGTGACCATGACGCAACTAGCGTCGAAACCATGGTTGTAGATATTACAACTTTTTATTGAACTGGGACGAAAGTAAAGGTAACTAAACCACTATTATTTTATATGCTATCTAATGTTGAAAGGCTGGAGATGGGGGAAAATGCATATTACAAAGACTTAGTCAGTGTAAAATATAGGATAGGTGAAAGGCATAATGGAACAAAATGTACATTTTAAAAAGTAGCATACACAACATTAGTTAGTTTTCATGTAGAATTGTGTTTATATTTTTTATTGAGGGAATTTTTTAAATCAAATTAAGCTAAGTAATCATTACTATAAAATGTCAACAATAACTCATTAATGGGTTCAACAATGGCCCATTCACTTATGTTTGTCTCTCTTTTGTCTACCACACACTTTGCTTGGTGAAATAAAAACAAAAATTTCTTTTCATACTAGCTCAATCTACCAAGAGGAAAAACTTGGGACAGTTTTGCTGCAATAAATTTTAACATTGGATAAACTATCTACTCATTTTAATCATTGTTTTCTTTTATGGTAAAGATAGTGTGACATCATGTGGACTAATAGACATAGATATGAATCTAACAATATATTATAAACTGTATATACTACACAAAGGTTTTGATTTTTGAAACAACAGTTTGATCGTTAAACATTTTAATATAAACTTAATAAACAAAGAATTTTGAACTTATATTTCCTGTACTAAATTAAGTATGGCAATACATTGGTTTTATAATATCACATTTTGTAAAATGAAAGAACACACTTTTATAAAAGCCTTAGGATGGTAACGATACATAAAAAAATTATAACCTACATGTAAATTTTGACAAGGAATGTCGGTGGAATGCTATTGTTTGAAGCGAGGGTGGTTGTTCTTGTAGACAGGCCAGCGACAGATGGGACAGAGGTGATTGTCAGTTAGAAGCCACGTGTGGATGCAACGCTTGTGGTACGTGTGACCACAGGGGAGGCCACACAGAACAGTGTTGTTGTGATAAGAGTCTAGACAGATAGCACATGAACTGGCTGGCAGCATGCCTTTTACTGGGCAGTTGCTAAACTCTTCCTTGCTGTCTGTGATGCTTTCTTCTGAAGAAGAATCATATTTACAATGACAGTCACCGTCCATTAGGTTCATGATTTCCTTGGACTCGTTATCGGCGTTGGTTGGAGTCTGATATTTCCACACCGGGAGGTCCTTGATGTAGTCGTTGACAATGGCAGAAGGTTGAAGCCACAAGTTAGGCACAGCCAGACGCTCTATCAGCAACTCAATTCCTTCCTCCAGCTGGATCTCAGGAGGGGGAAGAGGCAGACTCAGAGACGCCATAGGTCGACGAAACAAACAATCCAGAGGTAGAACTTCCCACCATGGCCGATCCTCAGGGTCCCTCTACAACATCAAATTGTAACATTAGAAGTAGGTTTGTTAATTATAAATTTTTGAGATTGAGATGGGGACGCTACTTCAAAGTATTAACACAAATCAATAGATAATGTCTTGAGGGTCACAGCTCAGGCACTTTCCAGTGGTAAGATACCTGAGTTTACACTGAGTTCAGAATGGAGTGAGACGATCTGTTTAGCTTTATTACTAACTAAGATCAGCTGTTTCATAGCCAATATAATTTATTTAAAGACCTATGATCAGGAACAGCTAGGTCCAGTTTCAAGCCATCAAAAAGCTACTGACTTTTGGTTTTCTCAGGATCGATCCGGCAACCTTTTGATTGTTAGGCAAACACTGTAACCACTTATCTACCCAGCCAGTCATAACAATTTACCTTACAAACGACTAACTTCTAATTGTTAACTAATGTACTTTTAACACAAAGTGGTAAGTTTTTAAAATTGTTACTTTGATATTTCTATGTGTTCGTATGAAATTTGTGCTCTATGCTTATTCTTCCTCTCACAATATACTAATAAACTTTTATTTTTATTTAAATAAGTTGAAAAGAGAGGGCCTGTGCACATTTTGATAGGATTCAAAACTCTTCCCCCATGAATAATGAATAATGCTATACACTTTTACCTTTTAAATATTTCTTTGTAGCTGAATAAATGACATTATACCTTCCGCAAAGATTTGTGGCGGCTGAGGGATTAGGACGATCGGGTTGTGTCCCAGCCCCTACATCAGCCCTCGCTCGACTGCTCTGGGTTTTGACCATGAGTCACCCACTAGGCTCAATGCATAGTTGGAAGAATTTTTGTATATCATCATAAAGTGTATTAAATAACGCCAGTTTTGTAACCTCTGTCAAATAACAAGAACATTTAGCCCAAACACGAAATAATTGCGACGATATTAAGTATTTTTGGTTTTAAAATAATAGACAGTTTTCGTATTGTGGTATGCTTAATATCATCGCAATTATTTCGTGTTTGGGCTCAATGTTCTTGTTATTTGATGCAGGTTACAAAAATGACGTTATTTAATAAACATTATGGTGATATACAAACATTTTACCAACTATGCATTGAGCCTAGTGGGTAACTCATTGTCAAACCCCAGAGCAGCCGAGTGAGGGCTAATTTAGGTGCTGGGAAACCACCCGACCATCCTAATCCTTCAGCCGCCACGAATCTTTGCGGAAGGTATAAAAGACACATCATTATATAAATAAATAAGATGAAAAAAGCTGCAGATTTTATATTTAAACCCGTTATAGGCAGTTGGTCAGCAGCACTGCACCTTTGAAATTGCCCTAAAAGAAACTACCCTTTGTCCCTACATCATAAGCTTTAAAATTACACCTCAACCGTAAAAATTGGTTAAGTAGGATGGGAAAAAGCGATGTTACAGAGAAAACCCTTATTAAATTAAGTAAAGCATATCAGATGATATTTGGGAAAAACGGATATTACTTGCAGATTTCAATGAATGTTTTTTGTCGTATTTACAGTAATTAGTAAACCTGTACAGGTTGATTCTTCATACTAAGTTTTGTCCATTACTGATACCTATACTCAGTATCAATATGGAAAATTTATCATTTGAAGTTTACCAATTAAAGATAGATACTCTGTTTACAAATGAGTAAAAGTGAGTAAAGCTATGTGTAAGTAGTGATGAAAACACACCAGCTCTGGAGTAAAAGAGCACATTGTTGGTTTGCCAATTGAATATATTTGTGTTGCGTATCATTACGTGTTAACTAATGACCTTAAATACAAAAAGAATAAAAAGTAAAATTACCTCATTTTGGGAGCTAAAAACAAATTTCTTGGTCATGAACACAAACAGAAGGAATGTCATAATGAAGAGCAACGGATGCTTGAAGAGCAGCAGAACGTCATTTCGTAAATTGTTGCCAAGATCTGTAAGTGCAATACTTCGTACGAGAACCAGAAGTTGGTCAGAAGCTGTACTGAATATTGGCCATCTACATGTGCCCAGGATCACTAGCCAGGTGGCGAATAACCAAAGGTTGTAGCTGACAAACGTCCACACTCCCCCCACCAGGTGTTTCCACCAGGAGGTAGCTCCAACCTACAACACAACAAACAGTACTGACTATTGACCATCTTTATGTGTCCAGGATCACCACTAAGGTCCACACTTACACCACTATATATTTAGACCAGGATGTAGCTCCAACCTACAATACAACCAACTATAGTGTGGGTGTGCGAACATACAAAATGCCAGCTGTTTGTACTGGACTCTTTTTTGAAGTTATTTTTCAATCTCACCCAAAAAGTATATCATATTCTTGGAGAATTCTATACATTGTCAAATTATGAGTATGTAGTACTACAGAATTTCAACCAGCCTTGGAAAGGTCTAATAATAAAAAACACATGTTAAGCATATTAAAAAATCACCCCAAAGCAGAATGGTTCCTACGTGTCTGCAACGGCCTGTGAAAACCTCAAAATGTGTCCGCAAGCGCTAAAACTAAAAAGCTAAATAATGACTTATATACCGGTATATATATATATATATATTCACTCTTTAGGGCTACTAGTAATATAGTTAAATAAAATAAGTAAATTTCAATAACTTGTATAGCCTACTTTTAAAACAAAAAACTAAAAAAACTATTAAGGGGTAGGCATAATCAGGTTATTTAAATTTACTTTTTTTTAAATACGTATATATATACACATACCTTAACAAGTGGTAACAAGGTCTTCAGAAGTAAAACTTTAAATTTACTATAGTTTCTTTATATAAACACACTAGGGATGGACGGGATTGAAATTTAAGTTCGGGACGGGACGGGACGGGATTTTTATTTCCTTCCCAATTTTCGGGACGGGATGGGACAGGATTTTTTTTCTGTGCATAAAAAAGTACTGTATTGCAGTTACCAAAAAAGACATACGAAATCAATTTTTACCATTTGTGGCACTGATCTATAAAAACCAAAAAATGGGTAACAATTTACAGGTACCTATAGAAACTTGTGACTCGCGGGTCACGGGGTGATCGTCTGTAGAACTCACGGTCACGGCGCGATCGTCGTCATGACTCGCGGTCACGGCGCGATCGTCGGTATGACTCCGCGGTCACGGGGTTATCGTCGGTATGACTCCACGGTCACGGCGCGATCGTCGGTATGACTCCGCGGTCACGGGGTTATCGTCGGTATGACTCCACGGTCACGGTGCGATCGTCGTCATGACTCGCGGTCACAGCGCGATCGTCGTCATGACTCGCGGTCACGGCGCGATCATCGGTATGACTCGCGGTCAAGGCTCGATCGTCAGCATGACTCCGCCATCACGGCATGATCGTCAGTATGACTCCGCGGTCACGGCCCGATTGTCGGTAGGACTCTGCGGTCATGGCGCGATCGTCGGTAGGACTCCGCGGTCACGGCGCGATCGTCGGTATGACTCGCGGTCACGGCGCGATCGTCGGTAGGACTCCGCGGTCACGTTGTGATCGTCGGTATGACTCGCCATCATGGCATGACCGTCAGTATGACTCCGCGGTAACGGCGCGATCGTCGGTAGGACTCCGCGGTCACGGCGCGATCGTCGGTATGACTCGCGGTCACGGCGTGATCGTCGGTATGACTCGTGGTCACAGCGTGATCGTCGGTAGGACTTCGCGGTCACGGCGCGATCGTCGTTATGACTCCACGGTCACGGCGAAACTGTCGGTATGACTCCGCGGTCACAACCCGATCGTCGTTATGACTCCGTAAATGTGTCCGCAGGCCCGCGTTTCTCGGCGTTTCGTGTCCGCGACAATGTCGCAGCGTCGCTCGTTGTTCTGCTTTGGGGAAAAATCATAAAACATTACTAAATGGTTTTCCTATTTAAGGCTTACTTTCTAAAGCCACTAAATTTGGCCGTTTTAAAGTAACTGTTTCATGTTGTTATCACAAATAACAAACAAAATAACCAACAAGGTAAAACAGTAAAACACAAAATTATATCATATTCTGATGATTTTGTACCATATGTTACCATACTTTGATACTTGTACCATAGACTAACCAACACAAGTAGACTTCTCATTCCATAGTAAATTTTGAAGCTCGTTTTTCATGTCTAGTTCATGTACGCCACACTGGGCGCTAGTGTCGACGAAATTTTGTTTCTATTATTTTAGTGTTAATTTCTTGATTTGTGCTTTACTGTTTGGTTAAATAACTAGGGGACAATTTATTGTTTATGATTAGATCGTATTATTTGGTTAAACGAGGTTTTAAATGACTGTATTAACGGGAAACAAATTGTAAACAAAACACGACCTCTACATAAACCGTACAGAACTAACAATAAAATTGTCTTCAGCTGTTCCATTAGGATGAGAAATCTTCTAAGGGAGTATGTTTTATCTATGCTTGTACCATAGTGTTACTATAATCCATGTTTATGTTGGAAATATGCAAAATCAGATGATGTTTTAAATAAAGGAGCTCATAGTTATATTACGCCACCTTTTCCAATGCAGCCTAAATCCCCTCTCCTCACTTCAGTCTACACCATGTCTTAGCCTGGTAAACACCTATGTACCCGTGCGATACTCTGAGCAGTTATAATTTAAATCGTGTAATTAGTTATTATTTACAAGAACAACTACCCCTAACTTCCATACTATAGTTCAACCGGCGACTACAGCACAGAGATAACCATAAAATTCTAGATAAGAAAGTGATACTTGTCCACTCAGCCACAGGTCTATGTTCACTCTATGACTGAGATGTGTGGTTAGGGCGGTACCAAGGTATGGAGGTTTGACAAACTGCAGTATGCAGCACACTTAATTAATCAGAAAGTACTGTCATGTGGAGGTGTTTAAAGCCTGGCAAGAATCTTCAAAGTGCAGATAGGTGCAGCAAAAGTGGTTGTCTCAACGTACGGTGTAGAGACACACCACACAAATGTGCATGCAATTTCACAGTACTCGATCATCTACCGATAGGGTCCAATAACACAGAAGTTTGGATAACCGAAGACCAGATAATCAAGACTGAGCTGAAGCATCAATATCACAAAATTGTATCTGTATTAACTAAAGAAAACTAAAGAATCAAACCTATTAAAATCATTGTCTACACAGGAAACTTGACTTTTTTCCTGAAAAATTCCTATGACATACCTGTACTATATGCAAGAAGGCAATCATGTTTGCAAAGATAAGGCTGCAGAGGAAGACATCGTTAGCATCAGGTTGAACAGCCCGCAGAAGAGCGTTCATGGCCCAGAAGTTAAAATGTTCCCCATGCTTCTGACCGTACACTATAGTGCGCTCAGGGGTGATGACAAGGTAGCTGGGAGCATTTAACTGACGCTTCAACTTCTGCCGCATAGTACCTTCGTCCTCCTTCTTGACAGTTATCATCCCAAATTTTATCCGACCTGTAACCAAAGTATAAAAGTCATTCTTCAAGCACATGTATAATGAAAACCAAGCTGTGCAAAGCTTCTTATCATAGCAGGCTTATTAAAATTGTTATCGATAGAAGAATCTTTGTTCTACAACATATAAAAAAGTAAAAATAACAAAACAATAGTTTAAGGATGTAACATAGGGCACAAGGGCCTAGGTTTTAGGATTTTTTGTGAGGATAGCAGGCTTACCTGATCGGGAAAGAGTCCAAACTGGCACAATAATTTAGATACCTATTAAAAAACAATAATTAAGATATTTTAATAAAACTCTAAAGGTTTTTAATGGAATGGATTTAAGTTAGATGGCCTAAAAAGCAAGAGTCCAGGGGTGAACCAGTACTAAAAAAAGGTCACATAATAATTACATTTTGTCTGAGTGTTAGTCTTCAAAATGCAAATGCCAGTTGAAGTCCAAAACTGGATTAATCCACAGTGCGGCCTACGTGTATCCATCATGTCACACTCAAAGTGTAGTCATATTTTAAAGACTTTAACTGTACAGTAAAACCTCACTAACTCGAAAATTGGTGGAGCTAGAGGTTATCAAAATTGGGTGTTGTCAAGTTATCAGGAACATTGAAATTGTCAATGGGTTTTAATAAATGAATACATTACAGAATAATTTTTACATATAAATTTATTTCTTCTACGTGTATTTTGAAATGTTAAGTAAACAATCTTCAAAGAAATGTTGAATATTTAACAACTAAAACTAATTGTTTTGAAAAAAAAAATTGCTTTTAGGCCTATGCGCGGCCTATCAGCTGTTGACTGTCCAGTTACCCTGACTGCCGAGTTACCGGGTGTCGAGTTAGTGAGGTTTTACTGTTACGTTAAGGGTTTTTATAGAACACGTGAAGTTCAAACAGTACATTGAATTTTGAATACTGAAGTAGTTTTCAGCGGTAGTACCATCTCAGTGCAAGTTATTTTTCACAGTATTTTTTTTTTTTAATTGCACTGATAAAATTACCCTATAGATCACTGATTAGTGATTAGTGTAGTTGATTTATGTGTGGTGTAAAAAACAACAAAGATGGTGACACCCAACACATGAGCTTATAAGTGCTCCTGATATTTATTGATTTTTTTCAGTAGCTAAGACAAAAATACATTTCTGAAAAACTAACTAGCAGGATTCACTTAAAATATATACTACATAAAGCATAAAAACATCAACTTCTAAAGGTAACATCTCTGTCATTTAAAACACAAAGTTTTATTTTGCCTTGCAATACAATTAAATATCTAAAGTAAACTAAACATAAATTGAAAAATCAGCTCAAATTTTTATCAAGAAAGAATAAGAGACTACAGAGCCAACTCACACTTAATCTCAAACACCCACCAGTTTTCCACATCAACACCAACTCAACAAACACATCAGCAAACTTGCCACTAAGACAGCCCGACAAGTGACCTACACTTGCAACCTCAGCAACCCTGACCTAGGCACTCTGCCTACCTACACAGAACATCTGCTTACATTGACATGACACTGGATTGTCAGTTAATCAAGCACAACTATTAACAGAAAACGAAATCCATTTGATTTTATTTAGAGATGTTATGAACCTGAGGAATCAGCCAAACTTCCAAGAAAAAACTCTATCCATTTTATATTATTTATGGATTTTAACCTAACCTGAGGAACAGCCAAACCTCCAACAAAATGCAATTTTCACATTATTTAATTAACTAGTACAGCTTCTATTAAACACAACCTTTTCTATAAAAACAAACACTGATATATTCTGTGTACTAATTTAATTTGTCAAAGCCAAATCATGTCTATTATAAATGTACTGGAATGTCAACCAGAGATTTCAAAAAAAATATTAAAGCTAGTTACAAAATAAAATCATGGAGCTGCAAAGAATGTGACCTTCAAAAGGACTCAACCTATCTTCTGCCTGCATGTACAACCCCCTTTAATCCATCAAAAGATTGAAACAACCTCTGCATGTCAAGTCGAAACCAGCTCAGAAGACCTTCAAGCAAAAATAAAACCATTTCAAGCCCATGAACAGGAAGACTTAGAAACATCCCTGACTTAAGCTGCCAAAGTTGGTAATGCCCTACTTACAGAAAACAATAAATTAAAACAAGACCTTTTAAAACAAGATTTGACCATAGAAAATACGGTTTTCATTTTTTCAACAAAAATAATTCTCTTAAAATGAGTTATTAGGAAAATACCCCTGCTGCAGCAAACCTGCCGACTAAGCAAATTTCCATTTGCCTGGATTGATTTTCAATTAATCTATTAAATTAACATTTATGTTTAACGAGTACCTAGGTTAGCTGCTACAGGGAAACTAATAAAGTGTGTTTTTTTATTAAAATATCAATAGCTTAGTATGAAATAAATAAATCCGCCAAGTTTGATAAAAATATATCCATAAACAAGCCAACTACAACATTTTACAATATTCTCCATAAGAATAACATAAGAATTTTAAATTAAAAATTTTTTTGAATTTTCTCCGTAAACATTCACCATACAAAAACACTTTGATTATTTGTTTTTAAAGCTCTTCAAAAAGTTCTAGAGAAAAATTGATAAATTTTGAGTTTTAAGGGTAAAAAATGAGAAAAACCCATTTTTACCCCATAAAACCTCCCGTTATACCCCGTTCCCATGGTCCGATCATGCTGGTTTGCGAACTCATTCAAGTTTATCCCACCTTACACCTTCAAACCAAATTTTATCAAAATCGGACAAAAATTATTCAAGTTATTGTCCGGACGGACCCATATATAAATACAATATACATACCCATACATAATATAAAAATTTGAACAAATGGTGTTTTTGGCCTCTGGGGACATAAAAATGAAAAAGTAAATCGGTCCCGGGCCTAGGTCTTACCATGAGAACATGAGAAGGAATCTTTACTAAATCGAATAACTTCAATAACAGAAACTTTAAATGAATCTGAGCAACAGCTAATCAAAGAGAGACAATTCAGAGCTGAACTAGGCTAACAACAATGTTCAAAGATCAAGACAAGGATAAACTTGCCATTATTAATATATATATACTAGCTGACCCGGCGAACTTTGTATCGCCTAAGTTATAGGTTTCCCCTAAGACAGACCGATGGAAAGAAAGTACCGTTACGTTTAATATTCAAGATGATCTCGTTCGCATCGCTCAATCACGTCCTGGTTGAAGTTCGTTCGCTACGCTCACTCAACTTTGGGTTGGAGCTCGTTCGCTGCGCTCACTTGCCTTTAGGTTGGAGCTCGTTCGCTACGCTAACTCGCCTCCAGGTTAGCTCGTTCGCTACGCTCACTCGCCTCCAGGTTGAAGTTCGTTCGCTACGCTCACTCACCTTTTGGTTGCAAATTAGCTGTTGTCATAAATGTAAAAGAAATAATAGTGCTGCACCCTGTTGGTAATCCTTGTAACTTTAATGCTATTGAATATCATAGAACAGAACCAACTTGTTTAATTGAAACAGCTGTTAAGATTCATTAATTCCATTTCTCATAAGGTTAACATGGGAAACTCCAGAGCCACTGGGGCGGAGCCCTTTTAAGAATTTCGAAACGGGAAATAGTTTACGTCCGATTCGCATACCTACAGAATTTACACACCAAATTTCATAACGATCGGTGAAGTCGTTCCGGAGGAGTTTGCAGACAAACACTGTGACACGAGAATTTTATATATTAGATTAATAATATATATCTAATGATATATATTTAATAATCCATTGTAAAACCAGGAAAATTTTCTCGCGCATGCGCAGGCACATCATAAGCGGGACATCATAATAATGGGACATAATAATAGTATTTCCATAGTTGAAATGGTTTAATTAGTGTTAGCAATCATCTCTTAGGGCCTGTGATTCGCGGTAAGCTGTGTCCTCTGGTTAAATTCGAGGTTTCAGCCATCGCTTCCAACAAGAATGATTATGTCGTAACAGCCAATCAATTGAAAAAATAAGCATCAATTTGTAGCTAACCGCTACAAGTGGTGGCAGAGCATGGTTACGATCCATGGACCTCTGGGTTATGGCCCAGCACGCACCCAACCATCTTCCTGCTCGCTCTCCCCGAAGATGGCTGACTGTTATGTGGCTGAAATGTCAGTAGTTTCTGTACATAGTGTACATAACCTAAGGACACAGTTAAACCGCAAAGACCAAGACTGTATATATATATATAAGTGACGACCGTGGAAGCCTATCCATGAAGAATATTGTCTATTGAAAGTTAATTTACCAAGTTGGTTTTTCAGTTACTTGCTCCCAAACTTTTATTTAGAATAGGCGATATTATTGGAGTAGTGAAGTTGTACCTGTAAACTTGATGCTGAGTGCGGCCAGGAACAGCGGAGGGTGCAGCAAATGAGTCAACAGCAGCACCTTGACATCCCTCAGACTATCTACTGCTGTCTGGTTGTAACTGGTCTGCTCGTCTGACTCTGACAACCAGTCTCCCAGCTCTGTCACACCAGCCAACTTGTGTACCCTGATAGACAACTGCTCCGACATCCAGTTGATGATTTTCTGTCAGCAAACAAACACAATAAAACTATAGCTACCCGCTCTATTAGCAGCTTACGGCCATTACTATTGTTGTTATTACTTTAAGACAACAACGTCCCGCCCCAAAATTGGATTTTTTTACGTTGAATATTTGTTGTAAACCTATTTGTTATTTTTTTAAGTATTAATGCATACATTTTCTATCAGTTATCAGATATGAAATGATTACCTTAAATGATCCCAAGAACAATCATAACCTAAAAAATCTCACACATCAACACAAAGAAAATAATCATTGGCTTGGGCGACTGGGACGGTGGCAACAAAAACAAAAACCGAACCAAAACGGAACCTAACCTATAGAGCTTTAACCGACACATGACTAAAAATTAAAAAAAAACTGGAACAACGACAAGCCCTGAGTACTCTAAGAATAATTTTCCTCAATTTCAACAATTTAATCACTGTTACATAAGTTATTAGGATTCACAGATGTTCAGAATTAATTGTTACTAGAGGTCGTCCAGTGGTCAAAACCTCGACAAAAAATATGTAATGTACAGACTTCTTTATTTTCAGTTTATATTTTGTTGTTATTACGTCACCAGCATGGCAACCCATAAAGCCCATGTTAATTTTTTAGAAGTTTTCAAAATCATTTTTTGTTCTTATTTTTGAGCCTATTTTTATTTATAAAGGGATTCAACACATCTACAGGAAAATATCTTTCAAACAGTATGCGTAGATTTTCTCTGCGATGCACACGAGCTGAGAAAAAAAGGTTTCAAAGAAAAATGCTTGCCTATTAATAGGCCTATATATAAGATTATGTTTGTTTAATTCAATGTTTTGTTTAGTTAAATGTTAACATTATGCAAATGATGTTAAATTATGAACTTAGGTATTACCTGAGGTTTAGTGTAAGTGCACGTGCGAATGACAACTTTATCTTTTGGTGTTGTCCCTTTTGGCATTGCTAGGAGAAGCAGTGGTTCATTCCAGCCTTTGCTTTTGCAAAGTCTGTAAATGAAAAATAATTAGCAACAATTTTAAAACTATTACAAGTTTCAAACATCATCAGTCGAGGGCTATGAACTCAAGTCCGAATTTTAAACTTTTATTCATGAATGAAAAATATGCATTCATAAAAAAAATATTTGACCATACCCGGTAATGTTTCCTTGTAAAAGAAATAGATTTCGATAATTAGTCTAAAACAGTTGGGGTAAGTTTGTAAAATATTTATTTGATGCCAACGCAACATAGAAAGTATCATATTTATTCCCTGCTGTCAGCAATACCTTAGTACTGTGTTAGTTAACATGTAAGTTACCATTATTGTTTCACAGATTAAAGTTTTCTCCAACAATCTAGATTGTTGAGACTCATATCCATCTAGTATTGATTGTAGATTGATTGCTACAAGATTTTCTCACAATTTGCCTTTTGACTACTGTTCTCTCGTAATACACACAGTATTTTACATAACAGTTAGTTACATAATCCCCAAAACAGGAGTCTACCGTACCTAAATAGCCAAAAAAATTATCGGTTTTGATCACAAATTGAAACAACTTTGGATGAGTTTTGGAGGATGCTCAAACCATACCAACATTTCAGATATCTGTCCACTTTAAAGAATGTGGCTTCCGTTACATTTACTATTTAATTTCGTAGTATGGTATGCTATAGTGTTCAGCTTCTACATGGCCAATATTCAAGAGGCAGTGCCAATCCTAAAGAGAAGAATTATTTAATGATATACTAGTAGCTATGTTTTTTTATTTAGTTTATGTACATACAAAGATTTCTACAGTATTTGCAATGAAATACAAAAACTTGACAAAACAAACCTGCGGTCCAGCTTGCAGTCAAACATGCCAGTGCGGATGGCAAAGGGAGCGACATAATGTTTTATCATACGCCATCTATAGTCGTCCAGTAGAGGCTCATTGTTGCCAACCACCACCTGCACCAGCCACACACTGTCTTTTGTGTCTTCTACCTAGAGTAACAATGGAAGCTAGGTGTTACCTTCAATAGATAGTAGAGGGAAAACTAAGATGGGGTATGACAAAATTAAATTTACTATGGGGGATACTACAGGTGACCAATTTTTAAAAGGTGTTCATCATTTCATAATTTTTCAATTGACTTAATTCTTTCTTGCTGCAAATTAAAATCCATACAAATTACTATTGGAGCAGTTGAACAAGGATTGCCCAGTACTCTTTCCAACAGTTTTAACCAAAACTAAAACTAAAGATGTTAAGTTGTAAGCTTGGTAAATAGGCCTGATAATATTTTAGGTTATGTTTTGTTGCAATGTCAACCATACCTGCTCATAGAAGTGAGCGCTTCCAGAAAACTGAGATGTATGAGGTGTCTTTACGAGTCTGTCTCTCTCCTCCGAGTCTACGAGAGAATCTAGCTCTTCCAACTCTCCTTGGGAAACATCGGCTAAACAAATACTCTGGTTGAAAAAAGTAAGTCATTCAAATAAAACTAGACTAACTTAATGAACAGGTATGGTGAAGTATACAAACTGTTTGTTAGCCACTCCACTGATAAATCTCTAAGTTTTGATTGTAAATGTAATTCCTAAGGATTTTTACTCAAGATTTTCAGAACAAACTAAAGTTACCTTTGTTGCAAAAGGGGGAAAATCCCATACCGCACCCTTCCCAAAAATCAGAAAGTAAATGAAAATTATATTTCAAATTAAACGTACTGTACATTCCAGTCCATCCCTACAACAACCCTTTAAATAGTACCGTTGTTATGAAATGGCGGTACACAGAATACATTGGTATTTAATTTAATGTAAGTTTATATGCATTGAAGTAAAACAAAATTACATGTACATTATATTAATAATAGACTATTGGTCATCCAGTGGTTGAAAACTCGACCAAAAATATGTAATGTACCCGCATTGAATATTGGATACTGAAGTAGACATTCCATTTATATGGACCAGTTGTCGCCATTTTTTTAAATAAAAACATGTAGTTGTGTGAACAAGTCACAGTATGCGAGTCTAAAATTATATTTTCCATCTTATTTTTTGTTGCTGACAAAGTTGATCGGTCATAACAGTTTGCTATAGCTCTTAATAAGTCATTCCATAAGTTTGACTTGGTAAAAATCATCGTGTATTCGAGAGGAATTAATCAGCGCAATCTGTTGGTGGCCCACATCAAATACGACGAATTTAATAAAAACTGGCGACAATTTTTTTACCATAGGGATGGAATGTCTAGTTGTAAGTCAAAGGTACAGGCTTCTCTATTTTCACCCCACGCTGTAAATAAAACATGTGATTGTAATTTCTTCCATTTTTGTTTTGATTTTCTGTTTATATTTTGTTGTTATTTTGTCACCAGCATGACAACCCATAAAGCCCATGTTCATTTTTTTTAAATTTCAAATTAATTTTTTGTTCATCCATATTTGCCTCCTGGATTGATAATGAGTAATAATAATAATAATAGGCTAAATACCTTATTTACGTCCTCAATCCAAGTCGTCTTTTTAATAATGACTATAGTTTCGGGGCCAACAGCTCCATTGTCAAATTTTCTGTCTTGTTAAATAAAATTACTAATAATAGTGATTAAAACGTTGTGCGGACCGGTACACTGACTAGCACTGACTTTGCAGTCAGTGTACCGGTCCGCACAACATTATAATCACTTTTGTTTAGGCCGGCTAAAAGTATAAATTCTCAATGTTGCGTGTAAATATAAATGTTTCGTGTGTCAGTGTATGTGTATATGTGAACTTCAACGATGACCAATGCTATTAACAGTAATTTAACAAGACAGAAAATTTGACAATGGGGCTGTTGGCCCCGATACTATAGTCATTAAAAAAGACGACTTGGATTGAGGACATAAATAAGGTATTTAACTTATTATTAATTTTTTGTGCTTATATTTGAGCCTATTTTAATTTTTAAAGAGATCTGCACATCTACAGGAAAATATCTTTCTAACAGTATATGCATAGATTTTCCCTGCGATGCACAAGAGCCGAGAAAAAAGGTTTTAAAGAAACATGTTTACCTATTAATATACCGGTATAGAAGATGTTTTGATACAGCGTTTTTGTTTTAGTCATTGGTGGGCCTACTTTATGAAATAACATATGGAACGATTTTTTTAGAGATGGGATCGAGTCGGATTAGGCATTCCCTATTTCCGTCATCCTCGTCGCCAGTTATTGTATAATAATTAGAATCAACTCAAAAGATACATTATTTTACTCAATCCATTCTATTTACAAAATTGGTAAACATAAACAATCAATTAATGAACACACGTTTAAAACTATAGGCTACATCAGTTGTACTAGTTATAATCTTGCTCTCTGTTTTATTTATCTTTCTGTAATGAAATTGGGATAAGTAAATGTATTTCATTTCATTTCATTTTATTTCAGTTGTTATTACCGTATTGGATGAACAAGATATTAGGGAGGAGTGGTAAGTTTAACGAGTAGGCCGATTTTGTGGTCAGAGAGGAAGGTGGAGAGTATGCACAAATTTTAAACGACTTGCTAAGACAACCTAAGAAGTGTTTCCAGTAGCCTAGGCTACTTTAGTAAGACACCAGAGACTTTCTATTACATTACTGGAAAACACCTACACTAAGCAGGCAATCTAATCTGTCGATAAGAATTACCCTATCCATAGTAGGCTACAGCCCACCACTTTCAACACAACTCAATGTTCAGGAATCAACTGAAACCTGAACTGAGATCCTGCTTTGCGCACGCTTGCAACTACAAAAAAAATATTTTTGGTTCGGTGCAGAGTCTGAGTAAGCTTGCGCAAGCGTACACTTGCTGGTGACAATGTGAGGGGCAATGGACAAGTCACCACTTGTTTCTGTCAAATTCGTCCGATTTTATTTTAGGCTTAAACGCTTGCGAAACCAAATCCCTTGAGTAAGCATGTGTCCAATGTGATCCTAGACTAAGACATCCTTACAAACACAACTTAAGTTACCTGTTGATTCAACCAGATGAGCTAACTCTCTTTTTTCGTAGTAGCCTGTGTAGCTGATGCCTCTTATTTCTAGCAGCAGTTTGAGCTGTCGTACACTCAGCAGGAGTGGGTCAACCATGTCTGTGGGAGTGACTCCTTGATGACACCAGGTCAACAAGTCTAATAGACGTGCGACCATGAACATCAACACCAGGTACAGAACCAGCAAGCAGAGAGGCGTCCATGTTGACTTCATCACTTTTACTTTGCATACCACCTAAGAAATAAAAACATTTGTCTTGAGAAATCACAATAACCAAGAGTTAACTTTTAAATGTTTATTGCTTTGTATGAGGCTATCTTAGTTTATTTTCTAACATACAAAATAACATAGCTTGACCCCTAAACCAATGTTAGGCCTAGTTAGAGCAGACAACAGGTCTTCTGTGAATTAGCAACTATCTTAGGCCAAATTACTAGTCAACTGTAAAAAGGTAGCCTACTATAAGTTAACTTAATACAAACTGCTTAAATTATGGAACTAACTTAAGCTTTGAATGCTATTACCAGGGTTGCCGCCTTTGACTAGGAAAAAATTGGGACAGGTCCCCCTTCTCCAGGATTTACTCAGACATAAGTTTAAACAAGCGCAAGAGAACAAAGTTGGAACTGTCCCGACAGAATCAGGACAGGTGGCAGCCCTGGCTCTTACTGTTGTTCGTAAACTATTACAATTTTAAGGACATTTTTTAGGTAAAATCATATGTGTCGGTAGCTTTAAAATATACTAAAACATTATCTATGATCCCAACTCTGCAGACTTCACATACGAATGCTGCAGGGTGTTGTATCCTTGATAATGCTTAGGCCTTATTTAAATTGTCCAGACTATATTAGGCCTAGGCCTACTTAGTTTAAATGTGTAAGTTAAACTTAGGCTGTACTTGGCTTGGATACTTGGAGAATTCCCACTGGTATCGCATCAGCGACGTGGTCGTCAGGTTTTTATACTTTTCTTGCTCTTAACCCTTTGAGTGCCGACGTCCGGCCGACCGGACGTTTTTAGAACGAGCCAAAAGTGCCAACGTCCGGCTGACCGGACGTTTCGTAATGATCGAACAGTTGTCATAACAACCGAATGGATACTCGGATTCTTTTAACCCATATATTAACATTAAGTCGAAAGTTACTAGATGCGAAACATCGATTTTCGTTGGTCGAAATATCGAAAATTGGATTTTTACGAAATTTTAACCTAAAAATCGCCAGATCGCGCTCGGCATTTTTAGCGCGACCTTTGGGAAAAATCATCGGCATTTTTTTAGCGTTACTTTTATTTCTCGCCTGGCACTCTAAGGGTTAAATTATATAAAATGGATTCATTTCCTCTTCAGGGATGCACATGGCATATCTATCCCTCCAAAGGTCCATAGTTTAGGCCTTAATGTCCACCTATTTTTGGCCCCTTTGCAAGGTTTTATTAAAACGGATCTGAGAAGCTTAAAACAATGTTAATTCTAATGTTCTATATACCATTTTGTTTGGAAAATCATGGGCTTCAATATTATATATAAAACATAAGGAACATTTTTTCAAAAAAAAAATAGGCTATAATTTCGAAAATTTTCAAAAAAAAAATAAGTTCGCGCTCAATGAAATTGTATAAATTATAGGCCTATAAATATTTGAAAATAGCCACTTTGTTCTAAATTTAATGAGGATTACAAATATATAATCATATAGCGAGGTAAGTTATCAAATAAATAAGTTATGAGCGAAAAACGGATTTCAGTACATAGCGTTTAGCTAAGAATGCATAGCCTAACCATAGCTAGGAATCTGGCTGATAATTTACATCAATATCACTACCTACTTCTTCAGGATCATCAACCAGCACTTCAAAACCACTTAAATCTTCTTATAATGCACCACGTATATCACTACTTTTGATTTTTAACACTAAAACAATGATAAACATAATAAAACACATCAGTCATCGGTCCGAGGTTAAGTAACCTGTTTACTAATATGCACGTCAGCTGTCTGCTAACAATTACGATCGGCTCAGAGAACAAACAGCGCTTAGAGACAGACCTTTAGAAAGCTTAGAATCTAATGAAAAGAACGATACCTAACTCGATCCAGTTCAATCCGATTCAGTCAGTCATAGAGCCTTCGCCGTAAACGATGTTTGTGCGTCTTAAACTAGACGCGTGACCCTACACAAAGGGTGTTGTGCATCTATTTTTTGACGCGTGACCCTCGGAGGGCTATACTTAAATCTAATCAAGTAGGTTCTAACTTCAGATTATCAGAATTTCACTGATAATTCTGTCACTTTAGTTTGATACAGCAATGTATGATGTGACAGCTTGGGGTACAGTTTCTTAACTGGGCTATGCTAATATTGATTGAAACTAGGCCTATCGAATTCAAAATCTTGATCAATAATCGATACTTTTAAATAACTTATATCTATTATAAAATAAAACTATCATAACCTGACCTAACCAACCAAACCTGCTGATGGTGAGAAATTTGCATGAAGGTTTACTAATCGAATCGATAGTTTCAATCGATATTAGCATAACTTAGCCCAGTTCAGAAACTGTACCCAAAGCTTGGATGTTCAGGCAAGGTCGTTGTCATTTATTTATAACGCAGAGGATACGCGTCCGGTAACCGGACGTGGATTAGGCGTCCGGCAGTTGCTGTCATAACATAACCTAACCAACCAAACTTGCTGATAGTGAAAAAAATCAAATGAAGGTTCAATTCTCTTCATAACATAAAATTATAAATGCCAAAAATTCTAACAAAAGATGTACAGTTAAGAAGAAATTACATTCAAAGCAAAATCTGTGACAAAAAGTTAAAGTTACCGATGGGTTTCGAACCGGGGACCTCTTGCATATCAGTCGAGCACTCTATCCACTACACCACGAACACTGATGGCTGAAAATCGTATCATTGTGGTAAATGGCGTTCCGGGACCCCCTACCGGACGCCTAATCCACGTCTGGTTACCGGACGCCTAATCCACGTCTGGTTACCGGACGCCTAATCCACGTCTGGTTACCGGACGCGTATCCTCTGTGTATTTATAAATTACTTAAAATTATTGACTTATTTATAGGTCAAGAGAATTGTTCTGAGTTTGATGGTGGCTATGAGAGGTTGATCCTTTTATAATGTACGCTGGCAAAACTATTGTAATCATCTAGTGTTTTACTTGGGTTAAATAACAGATAAAACACTAAACAAAACAGGGATTAAACAATTAACTTAATATTTTGATAGTACATTACTTGAAGGAACATCCTTTCCTTAGTTCCAGTTCATTAATTTACAAGCATTAAAATAATAATCTGAAGACAAAATCAGTTAATTTAAAACTATAACAACTTACATCAACGCTAAATTTTGCAAATCGTGTTAAGAGAAAGTTAAATTTTGATAGTACAATATTAATTTAGGTAAGAAGGGTTAACAAAGAACTACATAACATAATCCCACTCCATAGTCGGATAGCCTAGGGTTCACTACGATACTCGGACAGAATACGATTGAATCGATCTATCGTGATTCTGCGATATTTCTTTCTTACTGAAATCGAATCGGTTCTATGACGACGGAATCATCGTAACTCGTATCGTATCCTAGGTTTGTTTACGTTTACGTGTTGTTTATTGTTGACATTGTCTTCTGTCTTGTGTGACTTAGTTAATAGTTGTTGGAGGTGGCCAGGTACACGATACACGTAAATTAGATTTTAAAATGGAATTAATTTTTTAAAAGAGATGGAAGCTTAACAGATTTAAACTGTTATACGTCAAGGAAATTTCGAGCTATGTAAGGTCAAAGGAAGAATTTGACCAATTAGGTAACTTATGTTTGTTTGGCATCAAGATCAAATGGATTTGCTATTTCCACGAGAAGTACAGGTAGAAATATGTGGCTTTTAAGTATTCGTGGCTATTACCTAATAAATCCATTCATGTTATTGTCTCCTTGATTTGCTAATTGACTAAAATTAAATAGATTAGATTATTAACCTCTAAGCCTACAAAGTATTAATCAGAAGATTCTGAGGGGTGGCGGTAAGGTAATTGTACCTAATAAGGTTTTAGGGACTTGATGAAGTTTGAAACCATTTTTAGGATTATCAGTAAGAGTTAATTGGTTTCTTAAGAACATTAAAGTTATGAAAGCTTAAGTCGCTTCCTAAGATGCTGGTTAGTTGCAATTTTTTGCAGTTGTTAGAGCGATTGAATTGATAGGTAGCCTACAAGTCTGTATAGAACCTAACTTATAGCCTAGGCCTAACCTATAGGCCTAACTTGCTATCAGATGAAAATTTAGTTTGATATTTCTATCGTAGGCCAATCATTAGAAGTTTTCACTTGATATGACTTAAATAACTTATTTATTTAAGTTACTTATGCTTTTCAAGAAGACTCGTATAAGTTACACGTGCTGTGGGGTTAACTTGGGTACGGTACTTTGGTATTATCCGGAGGCCACCCTTACACAGCGCAGTTATGTTAGGTAGGGTTTTCTTACAATACCAGATGAGTCATAAATTACTTTTGCACGCCATATCCCCTCAAGTACTTAGCCAGGTCATTGACCGGAGCATGCATCACCTGTTACCACCTGTATCTGGGGTATTTGGCGGGCGAAAGTAAGTTATGACTCAATTGGTACTTATAGTTCAATTCATAACGAAACGGGGAAAGTTTTATAAACATATTTGATAATCCAACCTAACATGACGCAGCGTGCTGTATACCTAAGTTACTTGGCGGAGTATAGCGGCAGCGACGCATTTAACTCAATCCTCCCCGACATCGCTGCCTTTTTTTCTGGGAGACAGAACTCAAAGGCCGCTAATTGTAATCATGTCAAATTTGGACAGTCAGTCAATTAAAGCAGGTTTTTTCCTATTACAGTATGTAGTTATTTTTGGACTCTCCAGTAAAAAATCTCTCTAAAATAATTGGCCTCCGCATAATACCAAAGTACCCTAACATTTCGCTGTGGCTTAGCTTTTTAAGTTACCGGTACGGTAGTTAAAGATAATTACAAACAAGGCCTACTGTATGTAAATTGTATACACAAGAGTTGATAAGTAGGCTATATCTAGTAATTGTTTTTAAACAAATAAATTTACACTTGGACCTCAATTTGTAATTGTATCCTTTTTTTGTAAGTTTTGTTAGCCACTTAGGCTAACCTAAGTTAAGTTAAGTTCATTTTAAAGCTACAGCACACTGT